TCCGGGGGCCGGGACCCGAAGATCCGCAGGAAGTGCCAGTCCTCGGGCTCCTTGCCCACGCAGAAGTGGCTGCTCTCGAAGAGGTCGGACAGCTTGCGCCCGTCCTTCTCCCACTCCAGCACGGGGCCCGGCTGCCCCAGCACCCGGCAGCTGAACGCCACGTCCTCCCCGCGGCCGACACGCAGGGAGAGGGGCCGGGCCAGGAAGACGGGGGCCCAGTCGTCGGGGTGCCCCTCGCAGCACGGCTCCCCAGGCTCCACCTTGAGCGTGGCAGCAGCGTAGGTCTCGCCGACGCTGTTCTTGGCCTTGCAGATGTACTGCCCGCCGTCCTCGGGCGTCACCCGCGAGACCAGCAGGCTGTACACATTGCCCTCGGCCTGCACGCGGAAGCGCCCGGCCGGCGCGATGGGCGCCTTGTCCTTCTCCCAGGCGATGCTGGGCTGCGGGTCGCCCGTGATTTGGCACTTAAGGAGGGCATCGGCGCCGCTCTGCACGGTGAACGTGCGGGGGTAGGCGAGGAACCTGGGGGCCCCTCCAAACACGTCCATCTCCGCGTCTGCGGGGGCCGCGGCTGGGACCGGGCACCTGTGGGGCAGAACCGCGGCTCACAGCGGGCGTCAGGGAGCAGGGAGCTGCAATGGGGGAGAGGCTGGGGGCGGCCCGCCGTCCTGCTAGGAGCCCCAGCGCAGTGGCAACGGGCCCCGACCCCCTCGTTCCCCGCAGAGACCGGGGCTCCTTGGTGCCGCAAGCCCGGGGGACCCCACGAGTGCCGCGTGGGCTGCAGCCTGGGCCTGGCCACGCTGTCGCCGGCCCCTGGATTCCACGCCGGGCTGGGTGCATCGGGTTTCCCTGCCAGCTGCCAGCCCGGCCTATTGTTAGCTGGTTATTTCGGTCTCCTGGGGCCCCCGCCTCCCCGGGGACTCTGCGCACTTCCTCAGGGGCTGGAGCTGGGGCTTGCGGCGCTGCCCTGGGCATCAAGCGAGGGGAGGGGGCCGCTGGGGGGAACCGGCCCTCAAAGGCAACCGAGCCCAAGGGCCGGATGAGCCGGACCCGGGGCCTCTGGCTCCCCTGGGACAGGGACTCCTGGTAGTCTCCCCCTCTGGGGACGAGTGGGGCAAGACCCCTGAGCCCCTTCCCAGCTCAGTGCTGGCAGGAAGCAGGCAGCGGTGCCACCCCTCCACCCGTGCCCAGTGCCAGCAAGCAGAGGGCAGGGGCAGGGGCAGAGGGGCTCTGGGGGCAAGGGGCGGGGGGCAGCAGGTCTCCCCCTCCCGCGGGGACATTCCTGCGGCCTCACGCGCCGCGGCTGCATGCACTG